TATATGGGCTTAAACTCCCACACACGCAACAGACATTAATCAAATTTTTGAGATTACATAAAGGAATTTTTTAAAACTCATCTGCAACTTTCTTCCACGATCAGCATAACACAATAATCCTGCAGTTTCTTTATTTATCTCTATGTACCGATATCCTGAAGTTGATGAAGATAGAGCTGTACCACTATTAAAATAACACCTTTATAGATGATTTCACATATTTCCTACAGCAGATTTATCTCGAGTGGATATTGTATTCGATATTTTTATGAAATATTTCCATTGGCAAAATATTTATAACAATTGGATGTAACAATTTCTTAATGTACAGTAAATATTTGCAAAAACTCAAAAATTATTACAACCCATTTCTTTGATTTTTTTCAGACAGAGAATATGGCATCTTATTATAGTTCCTATGAGAAGGATGAAGGCCGATATCCTTGTGTCAAGAGAGTGTATGTAGGAAAAGAACATGTAGATTTCTCGTACCAATTTGTCAAGGACAGCAGGAGCAGATATAACATTTCATCAGGCCAAGATCAGGAGTACATCAAAAAGGACAGTTCTAGCAAACAAATTGTAAAAGATATATCTAAGAAGTTAATTGGGGATCCTAAAAAATATATAAATTATTATCACTTGCACGGCGCATGTTTGATGGTAAATGCATTGTTTGATATTATTCGTTCTTAGTTTGTAGAAATCAAATGTAATATAACTTTGTTACCATATTTTGTAACATTCGACATGTTTTGACTTTTTTAATACAGCAATCTGGTGGTTTCAAAATCTCAATATCCTCCTGGCAGGAACAACCACGTGTACCATCATCAGATGAACCAGACGATGATAGCAGCGTTTTTTATAATTATATTGGTAAGTAACAATTAAATTGATAAATATTGTTAAAGAATATATGTTTGTGTTCAGAACAATTTATAATATAATTTACCATTAATTTTGAAGATCTCGAGTTTGATAAAGCCGTATATCCGATCAGAGTTTCTATATATGAAATGTATCGTCCTGGGTATATCACTCAAATTTGGGCTCACAATTCTCAAGAAAATCGGTGGTTTCCATTATGGACTGGCAAACGCC